CATCGCTGATTTTGAATAAAAATTATAAAGACAGTCATCTCTGCAATTACGTATGTTTCGTTAACGCGAATTTGCTCCAATGAGATCGATGAATCGGTAAAAGCTGTTTGTGAAATGCAAACTTTTAAATATGCGAGTTTGCTCTTATGCAGTTTCATTCCTGGCGCTTTAAACTTTCAAAGGACTAATTTAATCTCTGCGGAGGTACCGCGGTTATTTTTACTACGCGAAATTCTATAGGTCGGCGTCTTACGTGAATGCAACTATCGTATAACAGCAGAGATGACAGAAAGAATCACAATCGCAGGGACCAACGAATTGCCGATGTATAAAATATATTTTTAAATTCCCTTTATTTTATTTACGTTATGTCAGAACTTTAAATGTAATGTCATTATATAATTTGTCAATATTTATGTGCTCAGAACGCATGTCATTGACTTCCTATTGATTAACATTATAAAAGAGTTTCAATTTACGCCGACTCCGTTTACGCCGGTTCGTCCAGGAACGCATCCCTGGCATAAATCGAGGGCTACATATATGTCATTCACCAAGATTAAGATCATGCAGAAATGATTTTTGTTTTCACCATAAGTTCACTAAATCAATGAAAAAGTTCTAGAAGGTAGAATATTCCTTATGCCACATGCAGGTTATTTAGTAAATCAAAATTCATAAGAAATGGAAAGGGAATAATGTTGTTTAAATCGGTCTTTCTGTATGACACAAAAAAAACAAAAAAACTACAGGATTTGTAGAGTTGGGATTTCACATGATACAAAGATTTCTAAAAGTCCAGGAACAGAAACCACAATGTGGTCATAAACCACTGTTAAATGTGCCTAAAAGTAACAACTTACCAACTACATTCTGTATAGTTCGATCCGACTGTGCAGCCATAACAGCCAGTGCAGGAAGAACTTCAGCGATGCCCAACACGGCACCATAACGAGTACTGGGATCAATGGAAGATGTCTCATCTAACAAGACATGGAGAACAGTTTGAACTGTGTAATCTTCAGGGAGTAGTGGTGTCAGCTTGTGAAGTGCCTGTCTAACAAACGTTTGTAAAAGATACTTCAATTCACAGAAAATGTTGAAAATGCAAGTTTCTAGTTCTTGTGTCATATAAAAATGCCCACACATACGTAAACCGAGGCAAATTCACCTTTGCAGCAAGTTCCCTGATGGCTATGTCCCAGTGTCCAATCCTCCTTTCTATCAAGTGATTGATAAAGGGCAGTGTGTACTCTTCAAACTGAGCAATATAAACACTGAAAACAAAAGTCTTGCACCATTAAATGCCTCTTAAAATAGCATTACATAACTACTGTCATTTTGGTTGAACCATTTACTTACATCAAAAACTATTGTTGAAACAGATTATATAATTATAGTGTGAATAACAAGTCCACTTTTTCTTTCCAAGTATAAAGAGACAAAAACTTCTCAATGAACATCAGTGGGCAATAAAGCTATTCTTAAACATAAAAAAAACTTAACTCAGAAGGCTGTTACGTCACAGATTATTACACACCTAATGAAACCTACTCATTCTACTAATCTAAATAATTTCTTTTTATGAATCATGGTTTAGTCTGTTAAATTTTGTGATCTCATACTGGTATCCTGGGTTATTTCACTGTGTAGTCACGTGGTTGTAACCAATGTTTTAGAGGGTTTAAATGAGAGGCTGGTGGTTATATATGGTTGGATGGAAACATGAAGTACATTCCACCAAAAAGTTGCTACAGCTGGGAGACAAAACAGCGTAAGAACCCACAAGTCCACTCTCTAAACTCAGATCACTGTAAAAAACCTGAAATCTCACATAAAATAATCATATTAACACACGTACCATCCTAATTTTTTTTGTTATTAAATTTCAGGCTCATAAAAATGAATATGCAACGAACACTTACCTCTCTGTCAAACACCATTATTGCCATCAAGTCTTCTCCAATAAATTTCCCAAATTCTTGAAGAACAGTAGTGTAATTTGCTTCTGCAAATGTCAAGCAGACATGGCACGCAGCTGATCGGATGTCTGCTGCGACT